TATATATATATGTTGTTCTTTTGCTTGTCTCTGTTCTATTTCTAGTCTTTATAAACTGTTAAAGTTAGTATTTACAAAAATATATAAAGTAAAATATATAAATAGAAAATAATTTCTCTAAAAATCATAGCTTTGTTTTTTAATTTTTTTTGTTAATAATTTTAATTTCAAAATTAAACTTGACGCGAAGTTCTACCGTGCCTTTTGATTGTGTCTAATTTGACGTCTTTCTGCGGCCATATTGATGTGTGCCCGTGGTATCAGACACTACCTCCCTCCTTCCTCTTAGCTTACCACCCCGCAGCAAAACGCGCCGTCCATTAGGTCCATGAGCAGATCACCTGTTCACGTGATTACATTTATTGCTTTGATAAGATTCCTAACCCTAACTTGAACCAGTGAACCTGACCTATTTAACTTTAAACCTGTTTAAATCTAATGACTTGCGTTGCGGAGCAGACCGGCATCGTTTTCTATCTAATTCTTTCATTTTATGCACAAACACGTCGAACAAGCACAAATACATCAATATTTGAGATAAAGTTCGTTAACTGAAAAATTATCAGTTAAACGTATCATACAAAAGACATAAATAAGCTATATAATGGTGCAAGAAGCGAAACTAACCAAAAGAAAAACCTTGCAGAAGGAAAATATAAGTCAGGAAGAAAGCAAGACCAAGCCCATTGAGTCGTAAGTAAAGATAAATTTTTGTAATATATGATGTGACTTGACATATTTAGATGTATTTATTAGATGAATGTAATATCAAGTAAAAAGTTAGAACGTTTTGCCGTTATTAAACTATTTGATTTTGAAAGATATATTAATATTAACGATTAAAAAGAATGTGTTATATAGTGGGACACAGGAACTAATAAAAAATTTTCTACTTATAGGAAATATGGACCTGCTGTGTCTTTTCCACATCAAAGAGTATGGTCTAGATGTGTTTTGATACTAGGAGTATTATTAATAGTATGGTATAATAGCAGACAAGGAAAGGAAATATCCTTAGCTAAGCAAACAGATGTATTGGTAAGCCGTACACAAAACATAGACTGCTCTGCTGATTATAAAGATGAAGTAGAAAAATATCCTGGTTGTATACCAGAAAAATGTGGTAGAGTTGTTAATGATAAGCTCATTTCTACATCTGAAGTAGATATTTTATTGAAAATAGCAAAAAGCGGATTAGATTTAGGTGGATCGAATGGTGGTGCAAGTATACTAGATCTTCATTCTGGCGCTCTGAGCAAAGGCCAGAACTTTATTAATGTTTATAAGCAGCCTAAAGCGAAAAAAATATTCAACAGTGCAGATTTAGCAATGTATAGGTAGGACCCTTATTTTTATGTGAGTATACTAGATGTTATAATTATTTTCTAATACTGGAAAATAAAATAAGTAACTTTTGTTTTAAACTTATCAAATAAATATAACTTTTGTTTCGCGCATATAGAAATGTAGTCTTCAAAGTATAATAGTTAAAAAAAAAATTATTTGACTTGCAGGGTAGTAAAATCGAAAATACAACATGCAGTGGCACATAATTTTGGTATAGATATAGATAAGATCTATTTGACTAAACCTACTTTTTTTTCACAACTTACTTCCAAGCCTGCAATAACCATACATGATGAATACTGGCATCCGCATGTTGATAAGGTTTGATTCCTAGACTATTATATGTATGCTTTTTAATAAATTTCACACAAATTGTTTTAAAAGCTTATACTTTATTACTGATATTCATATTAAGAAATGAATAATAAAAAAAAAAATTAAATCAATACTATTATATATTACAGGAAACGTATGAATCCTTTCATTACACATCGTTGTTATATTTAAATGATTATGATAAAGATTTCAAAGGTGGGCGATTTATTTTCATTGATAAAAACAATGTCAATACAACAATAGAACCGAGAAGAGGTAAGACAGTATTTATAAAACTATTTTTAAAAAGCTCTAGTTTAGAAAATGAGAAATAATGTGTACATGCGCGTTAACGATATTTTCAGGCCGAGTATCGATGTTTACTTCGGGAAGTGAGAATTTGCATTTAGTTGAAAAAGTAAAATCTGGTGTTCGATATGCTTTAACTGTATCTTTCACGTGTGATAAAAACGCCGCGATATCTGATCCACACTTTATCGATGCTTGAAGTACTTGTATATGCCGTCTGTTCTCAATTATTGAGTGCAAGTATATCTACGTTATTCATTTAAAAAGCAAATCAACTTGTGTTAAAGGAAAATGATTTGCTTTCCAAATCATCAGGTATCAATATTTCTATGTTACACATTAAGTTTATTCAATCAAACAGTATTATAACAATATTTATATCTGATATTATATAGAGGAATAAAGTATTGTTTTTGTACAAATTTGTTTTTCCGAATATGCAACTAAACAGATATTAGTTTTGAAATTGAATGAATAATTACATATATATAATCATAGTAAATTTTTGGACATCAAGTGCATTAAACAAATTAGTGTTATCACTTGTACTTTCAACTTGTAAGCAGTTATTTTCACAATTATTTTTTACATCTAACGATAAAATACAAATAATAGATACTACACAATATATCAAAACATTGTTTATAAAAATACACATATATTCATTGTACTTGAGAACTTGATAATCATATTAGTAATGGAATGTGTGTGTGAAATGTAGACCGTGTTACATATTGTGCATTTAGTCCTACGATAGTTAGTAATAATTTTCTAAACACATTCTATGTTGTAGAGATTCGGTTGACACATTATTCATAAATAAAGAAATTACATATTGTTATATGAATAGTATGAGTTAAAAATCAATCATTAAGAAACATAAAGAAAAGTAAACAAATTTTAGTATATTTGTTGCTATTTACAGTATGTGTTATTAATATTAGAGTACTGTATAACGAAAAGCACTAGATTTGAGCTAAAAGACCGAGATCGACTTGCTTGAAACCAAAATATTACTAACAATAAGTGAAAGCCAGAAACAAAATGAGGAATAATAGAAAGTTGTTTATACAATAAAAATAAATAAATATGCGTACTTGAAGCATACACATCACGCGTGTAAGCTAAATGATGAACGTTTAATTCGTTCATTTTTGGAACTATCACAAAAAGTCTTACATTAGTCGTAAAACAAACTTAAACTAATCCCATGTACTGTATAGGAATTAAGCTGGCATCACGTAACGCCAAAGAACTATTCTCGGACGTCATAACCGTCAAGTTTAATTATGCCTTTTCTTTCGTTTCTTTACTTTCTTCTGAAACTGTCTCTTATGTTTTGTATACTATGCTCGCAAGAGACTTGCGATCCTCTTCGCACTTTCTCCCAACAATATCGTTCTGTGATTACCGTGCACTTCTTCTACCTTGACCGGTTGAACGCAGATCTGAAAACAAGTCAAGATATTGCAAATATTCGAACACGTGATTGGCGAAATGTATTGCGCTGAAAAATATTTGTATACGCATTAATGTTTCTTTGAATTGTGACTTTAGTGCAGATACAAAAAAGAAATAAAAATATTATTGGAACATATTGAATAATAAATATAAATAATAACATAAGAGAGAAAGAGAGATAGATAAATTTTTTACCTTTGATAGACCGTGATCTTCTTCTATAGGTATAAAGTTGTCTGTAGCTTTGATCAATGTCACGGGTCCTTTAATTTTTTTTTCCGGACTATAAATTGCAAAAGCCGCCAGTTTTTTGAATAAAAGATATCCAGCAAGTTTTAGATCATCCGGTTCAAATGGTGTTTCACCTATTACTTCTAACATTTTGTCAAACATATCTACGTCCGACTCACTAGTTCGCAAACTATTATAAGCCTGAAAAAAAAACATTACAAATTATAAAACAGATCTCACTTTGTTGTATAGTTTCGATTATCCGTATAAATTTGCACTTACTTGAGAGAAATTGATCGTCTTGTTAAACTGTAAACTGAAGAATGCCAATGCTTTTTTACAGCTCTCTGAAGTAATGTCTTCGGTTATATCTATTTTGCCGATCATTTCTGTTTGCTGTCGTACAAATTCCAGTGAACCGTCAATTAGATTTAGAATTACTTTTTCTCCGGCGGATTCCAATTGCAGAGCCATCTCGATAGCAACGCAAGATCCATATGAGTAGCCCGCTAAGTGATATGGTCCCTTCTTCTGAACTTTTCTAATAGTGTTCACATAAAATTCCGCCATATCCGATATTGTATCATGAGGTACTTGATCAATGCTCTGCAGACCCCAAAGCGGTCTCTCGAGTTCATTAGCCATATGCTCCAATGAACTTATCAGACCCTCTATCGCGTGAACGATAAACAACGGCGGTCCGTTCGTACTCTTAGTTTTCAAGCGCACGAGAACTTCTTGAGGCAACAACTCGTTGCTCGGCCATTGCATCAGCAATATGCCGGCATCAGAGACTGATGTGTCGTTTGCAACAGTCGCAATCACAGAAGATAGCTGTTCCTTTGGTATCTCACTTGAAGATAATTCCTGCAGTTTGCCAAACGTCAAGTCACGAATCTCTTGAGGCGACAACAGGATGTCGTAGTTTCTTTCTAGAGTTTGTTTTATTTCCGTGCCCATTAGGGAATCCATACCCAAATCAGCTAGAGTGTTGTTAGCATTAACTGTGCTGACGTCCTTCAAGCCTAAGATATTGGCCACAGCGTTGACGAGATTAGCTTTGTTGTCGTTCGAAGATTTGTGTTTCTCGGCTAATACGATAGACGATAGCACCGAATGCGGTTGCTGAAGAAATACGTCCATGGTTGCAAGGCAACTTGACATATGTTGCGGTACAGTACCGCCCACTTCGGTGTCGTTATCTCCCATTGTTTCTAAAAAAAATGACAATATTATAAGAATTACGAAATGTATGACAAAAAATAGCATGTATACACACACATACAATAAAAATTTAGAATAGTAATTTTTTAAAGCGTGTACGCATATATATATGCATGTTTTATTTTAACTTTCAATTATTATTAAATATTCTTTAAATTTAACCGTAACAATTATATTGGATAGAGAGAATATAGAGAGAATATAAAATCAAAGATGTATGTTACCTATAATTAAACCAACATCTCCGATAGCACCCCACTGAATAGCAAGACCGGGCAGACCATTGGCTTGCCTTTGCTCCATCATTCTTTCCATGGCCGAGTTCGCAAAACCGTAATTGGCCTGACCTATGTTGCCGCGACCGCAAGATACGGACGAGAACACGACGAAATAATCCAACGACGGACAAGACTTTCTCGATACCGTATCTAAATTTCTCGTACCGTCAACTTTTGGCAAAAGCACCGTCTTAAAGTCGTCTTCTTCAAGATTCTCGATCAAGGCATCACGTAGTACGGCTGCAAGATTGAAAATACCGCCTACCGGGGCCAGTCGATTACTTTCCTTGATTAGCAGTTCAGCACCCGATAATGTCGTGACATCCGCTGTAGAGATGAAAATTGTCACGCCATTTTCGCGCCAACGACGCACGCATAATGACTGGTAACCAGTACGTATGCCTGATCGTGATACAAGTACAATATATTTGGCGCCGCGGGTGATCATCCAATTTGCTAGTTCCAGACCGAATCCACCAAGACCACCGACCAATATGTACGATTTATCTGGATTCATATAAGTACGCGGTATGGCGGCCACTATTTTTGGCGCCGGCAGTACACGCTTTTGCGGTTCCTCATCTCTAATTTTCAGCAGTACTTTACCGATATGCTTGCCCGTTGCCATAAATCTGAATCCCTGTTCGATTTGTTGCTCCGTGAACACGGTCGAAGGTAACGGACGTACCGCGCCATTCTTGATACCCTCCGAAACGAGCCTTACCACTTCCTTCTTTTCCTCGCTCTCATGTTCGAACAACGCGTCCAACAGTATACCGTGGAAGGCTGTATTCTTCAAGAACATCGACATTCCTAAACGGCTGTCGTTCGACAGATCGTACTTGCCGATCTCAAGGAAACGACCGTTCAATGCGAGGCATCGTAAGCTAGCTTGTAGTTTCTCTTCTGCCAGCGAATTCAATATTACGTCAACTCCACGTCCTTGAGTCTCATTAAGTATCATCTGCTCGAAACTCGTGTCTCGAGAATTGCCTATGTGTCTGTCGTTTAATTGAGGGAAGGTTTTTTTAAGATATTCTCGTTTTTCTTGCGTACCAACGGTAGTGAAAACGGTGCAACCAGCGTGCAATGCAATAGCGATTGCTGCCTGGCCGACGCCGCCTGAACCAGCATGAATTAGCACACTCTCGCCTGCCTTCAATTGACCTCGCACAAACAGAGCGTAGTAACTAGTTGAGTAAGCAACGGGTATTGTGGCCGCCTCTTCCAGTGTCCATTTGTCAGGTACTTCCCACAAGAAACCAAGATCCGCCAATAGGGTTGTCGCCAATCCTCGAGCTTCGACCATACCCATCACACGACGACCGTTTGCGTCTCTTCCGGAAAACTCAAGCCCCAATATACAATCTTCCGTAGCCATCTTTCCTGGCAAGGCGTCGGGTGGTAATTTTCCGGTTGCCAACATAATGTCCCTGTCATTTGTGTATATAAAATTTAATTTAAATTTGTTATGCTTTTATCATTTAAACGACATCAAACGATGTTAGAAGTTTACCTGAAGTTTAAGGGAGCGTAATATACGCTGCAGAGTATAATGTTCGAAGAATGTCGGTCGGGCCGATAGTAACTTAACGGACCTTCAATCCATCTCAAGCTGCTCAAGTCTCCTTTTACTAGAGAGTTCACGTAGGCGTGTTCTACCTGCAGAGAACTAACGTTGTTCTGCTGATCTAATTGCAAGTGCCGATAACTGCCCCATTGTCCTCCTTTTAGTACGTTGGCTATCAGTCCTTTGTCCAATTGTTCCGAATAAAATTTCACAGATAAACCGAACTTGGGAGCGTTTTTATCTTGAATAAAGACGTAGCGCGCGTTTTCACCACCTGATTCGCGTCGAATACAAGTCATAAGTCCAACCAAACCTGTGAAACAGAAACGGCAACGATGGAATTTAAACTGTCGATATTCCACACACGAGATGTGCGATTAGAAATTCGAAAATTTTTTATTGTAGTATTACTTACCAAGTAATTCTTCGCCCTGAGATACAAGAAGCAACTCTTGATTCTCGCTTTCGGATTTTTTCAACGCTGCCTTTACACCTTCCAACCATGAGAGACTTTTTTCTGTGATTTGTATTACGATGGGTTCTTCCTTCTTTTCTTTCTTCTTCAGTAACAGGTAAGTCTTTCCTACAGGATCAATTTGTTTCCCGACCAATGTCAGATCTACATATTTTAGCGCACTCTTCTCGAGTTGCGTGATGGTTTCCTCCAGAAGGATATAACAACCGGGTTTCACCGCAGCTGCAAGATTTTTAAGAACGGCATAGGATTTGTTAGTCAGAACGTCTGCTGCTATAGCAAGGTGCAAGTTCTGACCAGGAGGTACATTGTTCGCATCTCGCGTTATGATATCAACGTTCATATTTGTCTCGTTGAAACTTGCCGCGTAAGTGCCGGGAGAAGTAACGGCCACTTGAAAGTCAATCTGAAATACCAAAATTAATTTTCTTGCAACTTGTAGCCAAACGTAAACGGCATTTGAAAAAAAAGTCTTTACAGTACTTACGACAGGTGAAGCAGGCTCATTCTCGAAAATGTCAAATATAAACGGTGCCAAGAGAGCTTCCGGGGCTCGTTCGCCCGCCACTTCTACCGCCTTGATTTTCAATGCCATCAAATTTTCGTGCATGATTTGCAAAAGCACGCTAAGTGCATGCAATTTTCCTTTTGCCGGATCTTCCACAAGACTGTGCGAATTTTCGTAAGGAATGAAAGTGTAGCGTTCGTGTCTAGGAGCAGCTTGAGTTTGTTGTCGTCGAGGTGCCAAAGAAGATTTTAATCCTCTGAGCTCGATACCACCCGATTTCGCGATATTGATGTCTTTGTAGTGATATATCGGCAGTTCACCGTCTTCTGGTAAATCTTCTACCAATTGTTTGTGAAGAACGGGATTGATCGAGGCGTATTCAAGACGCGAGGGCAAATACAACAGCTTGTATTTTTTGGACAGTATGAAAAAGTGAAGCATAGTATCTATGTACGAGATCCACTCGTTAGACCAGCGAAGTTTGCCAGCAACGCTGTAGTTATCGGACGACATAAGTCCCTTGAAGATACCACGATATTCATATCCGCGCAATCTCAGTTCTTTGTAAATATCTTTGTTGTTCATTGGTAAGATCTCTTTAGTGGTAGGTGGGACTGATGGCGGTTGTAGTTTCAGCTGATCTTTCTCGATAGCTTCAGATACGCGGATGTTTCCGCTGACAGCGACCGAGCCACCCTCATTGATCTCAAAGTCGCCCGTTCCTTCAAAGATGGTTATCGAAAACTTTACCACTCCCTCTTTCGGCATAATAGTGGCGCGTTGAAACCGTACATTTCGGAACACCACTGGCAATTGCTCAAAATCGGTACCGCGCAGTTTTGCCAAAGTTTTCCACACCAGTACCATGTAACCAGTAGCTGGGAAAATAACTCGTCCGTCTATTTGATGTCCCGTTAGAAAGGCGTCTGTTTCTTTCGACAAATCCACTTGAACAACGCATTCTCCTGAGTGTCCTGATACCTTTTTAAAAGTAGCCACTTCCCAGGAAGAGGAATGATCCCACTTGACTAGAGGTGCAATCATCGGTGTTCCGCGGCCGACAGGAAAACTCACTGATGGATACAATTTGGAAATTTCTGGTTGCGCACCGGCCATGTACAGCTTGCCCACGTTAGAAAGCAAGAAGACGAGATTGTTTGTATCTCGTTTGTGGAGGCTGATATTGGTCACACTGGGCGAAAGCGATCTACGCAAAATTGCCTGCAGCAAACAATGAGGCGCTATCTCAATCGTTATCGCATTCTTCGGAATGTGCACGAGAGTTTCTTGGAAGAGCACTGGAGACAGTAAATTGTTCACGTGATACGCCGACGAGCTGAACTGTGCAAGCGGACTGCCCCACGCTGACTCGGGTATAGAACTGGAAATCCATTTAGCTGATCTCTGTTTTGGAGTTGGTATTATTTTGTCAAGCGAGGCACGTAGTTTAGGTCCCGCTTGAGCGATGTATTTACTATGGAAAGCGATGCCATTGCTATTGACCATTTTGGCGAAAATATCATTGCTCTTCAGTTCTTCTACGAATTTTTTCATAGATTCGAGCGGACCAGATATAGTGACGGAATCTGCAGAATTGTGACAAGCTGGACTGATGTCAGGCGGGCACATCTTCTTGGCATCTTCCCAACTCAAACCAATCGCCGCCATAGCACCTAGCTCCAGCTTGGAGTCCACGATCGATTTACCTCTGCAATAAGCTGCCAAAACGGTTTGTTCTGGCGTAAACGCGCCATCCGCGTAAGCGCAACCCAATTCACCAACGGAATGGCCAACTATACCGTCCGGATATATGCCTATCGATGTCAATGTGTCGACAAGAGCGACCTGCATGGCCGCAATCGACACAAAACTGTTCATCACATTCATTTTATACGTCTCTTCTGTGCTGTTCAAGATTATATCCATGAGATCAATGCCATGAGGCGCTAACGCATCCGCACATCGTCGCAAACTACGCTGAAAGACTTCAATTTGGAGCAATTCGCGACCCATGCCCGACCATTGTGAGCCCATACCAGAAAACACAAACCAGATAGGACGTTTTTCATCATAGTTCGGCATCTCGCTCATTTCGCGAGTATCATTCACGCCAAGTATCTCGTAACCGCGAATCTGGTGTCCCGGTATGTCATGCTTGTGTATGGCATGTAGTAACGCGACAAACTCATCGTCTGTCTGATATTCTTTTGCTTTGTCCAGCAACATGTGTATGGACTCTTCTGTTCGACCAGACACGGCAACCAATTTAGGTAGCAATTCGGTGGCGGGTAGCACGGGCGACAGTTTTGGTTTTGGATTACTACGCAGAACAATGTGCGCGTTCGCACCTCCGAAGCCGAACGAGTTAATACCCACGAGGCCTCCGTTCCACGGCATAGCCTTGTCAACTACTCGAATGCGTCCTTCTTCGAACGCGGGTATATCCGGATTTGGAGTTTCAAAGTGTAAGTTCGCGGGTATCACACCAGCTTCCATTGCGATTAAAACCTTGGCGATCGAACACAGTCCGCTGGACGGTTCCGAATGTCCTATATTGGACTTGACCGAGCCGAGCAGCAAAGGAGTTTTCCTATCTTTGCAAAACAATGTGTCGACGGAATTGATCTCTTCTGGATCACCCACTTTGGTTCCAGTACCATGAGCCTCTACGTAAACTACATCTGCGGGATTAATACCCGCCTCGTTGTATATCTCGCGCATCAATTGATACTGCCTTTTACCATTTGGATAAGTAATTCCCTGATATTTGTAGCCATCAGTATTGGTTTTTGTGTGAACAACCGTGGCGTACATTCTACGCGCGTCTTTTGCCTTCTGTAAGTATATTGCCACTACGGCCTCAGCTCTTACGTAGCCGTTACCCTTACTGTCGAACGCCTTGCATTTGCCGTCCTGTGACAGCATGCTTAATCTGTGAAACTGAAGCGAGTTCTCCGGCTTCAGTAAAAGATTCATCCCACCGACAATCGCTGCGTCACACTCGCCGGCACGGATCGCGGTAACTGCCTGATGCATGGCAAACATAGCCGAGGAACAGGCCGTGTCCAATGCATAACTAGGTCCGGTGAAATCAAATGTATACGAGATTCTATTGGCGAACATTGCCCTACAACATCCGATCAATCCGTATCCTGCAAGAGTATTGTGTTATTTTATTTATGTACACGTGAAAACTTTGAACAATTCAACTCGCGATAAGTCAACATTTTGAAATTATACAAACCATTTACACGATCCGGATCACTTGTCCAAAACTCGTCCGATTCCGAACATGAAACACCGATAAAAACACCAGTACGTGATCCTCGCACGGTTGTCGGGTTGATGCCAGCGTCAACTATCGCTTCGTACGTGATTTCTAACATCATGCGAAGTTGCGGGTCCATTACGTGCGCTTGTTTGGGATGTACACCGAAGAAAGAAGCGTCGAAGCTGCTGAGATCTTTGATCTTGGCGGATCTGCGCGGTAGTCCGTGAATGCCCGCTGTCCAACGGCGATCATCATCGGTAACCATGTCCAGTCCTTTCATCAGATTCTCCTTAAACTCTTCGATGTTTGACGATTCAGGTAGACGGCCTGGAAAAATATCGGTGCGTTACGCTCCCATAACAATCTGATCAAGTCAGTCGCATTACAGCTCTGTTCGCACGATCGGCTATTACCTGAAATGCCCGTAATGACGACATCACTATCGACGGAATACGGTACTCCATTTCCGTCCGCGTGTTCTCGCGTCACGGGACTGTTGATACTTTCGAACTGAGCCGGCATCTTATCAAATAGTTTGAAATTTCCTTATTTCTGTCTGTAACAATTAAGAACAACTGATGTCTGTATTTTTGTCTCTTGTAGACAAATATCAGCAAAAAAAAAGTTATTGCTGAAGAACGCATGAAATATTAGAAATTAATTCCAGTTTCACACGTAAGAGAATTATTAACAGATTTTGATTATTTACATGTTGAAATCTGAATTCGCACTGATCTCAGCAGGACCTCTTTCAGCGGTCTCTTTAAACACGCTCAGTCCGTGTGAGCAACTACTATGCGCAATTACCCTCAATTGACATACAACATACTTAATTGAGTAATTTCAATAGAGCAGTTTCACTCGGATAAACCAATTTTCCTATGATTATTAATGGACATAATTCTTTCTCTCTTTCTTTTTCGACAAATTATGATATGTTATCGAACGACGACTTATGTTCTTACGTAAAATTTTTAACTATAATGTTACTATATACACACCACATGCACTCACAGAGAGAGAGAGAGAAACTTGTAGACCAAACTCTTTGTACATATTTCTTTTAAATTTTTTAAATAAAATTTTATATACTCTTAAAAAAGCGAAGTTTTTTGATTGAAACAATTTTCACATTTTTCTTTTCAAAAAAAAATTAGATTACGTTATTCAAAATTAGAAAAATATTTGTACATATACATATATGCAAATATGTAAATTAAAGAATATCGTATTTTACTTTTGCACTTATATTTCAGAGATATTTCCAGATTCACTTTAGCATATTGACACGCAAGATATTTAAGTAATTTGAAAAAAGAAAAAAGTTAAATCACGTTTTAAATTATCTCATCTAAAGTGCAGAAACATCTATAAAATATCGGCAGTTTCCTACTACAAGATAGCCAGTTATACATTCAGGCACACTCGTCTTAAACGTGCAAAAGTCGTGATGTGTGCGAAATATTGATAATATTCAATACGTGATAAAACATGATGATCAAAGTTATCACATGTCATTCGGGACATGCTATTTTTTTAGAAGTCAAGATGTCACGCGTAATTGTAATTTGTGAAGATATTTCGCAACGTAATTCAAGGTTTTCTTTTTTTTTTTTCTTTTTTTTTTTTTCGAGATATCTCGTCTTATGACGCACTTGAAAGAGAGTTGGACACGTATAAAAAGTTGTTGCTTTTTAAACAATGATCAAAAAAATAGTTACGACATTCTCTCCCCATATCGATTTCAGATTGAAGTTCGTTTTGACAGTGCGCAATCAAAGTACAATTAATGGATTTTCCATTCTATTCAGTCCAATAATTGTCTGACGATCTTTCGTCAGTTAGTTTTATCAATAGCATCTCCGTTTTGTGTTTCGCATTCAAACTCGGCGGTCACAGTACGACCGTCTCGTGGCGCTCACGCAGTTTGGATTTCTCCCGAAAAATAATCAAGGTCATTACGAAGTGATCATCGTTACCTGACTGTGAGCGTTAGTGTGAATGCAAACTCGAAAAAACGTGTGTTCAATAGAATCAAATTTCTCGGACTGTGAGCTCTTTGATCAATAGTGTAAAAACGAGATAAACACATCGGATAAACAATGGTTTTTCGCCAAAGTTATTAAGTATCCGGTACCCGAGCTATCAAAACACGAGAGTAGCATTATCGATAATGAATTGCTCATTGATAATTAATCGTTTGTTGCTCATCGAACAAAAAGTTTTAACTCTAAAGATCAAAGCATCATCGCGATTTTTACAGCTCGTAACATAACATCATATTACATTCGACTGAAAAATTCTTTTTTTTCCCGTGATTTGATCGTGATTATTCCGGCGTTAATGGCGTAAGTAAACGTTTGCAATAGAATTTGTTTGCAACGAACAATTTTTTCAGTGATTTCTTTTTACATCATTGAAAGAAATAATGTCCGCTAAACTGAATCTACATTAAAGAAATTTACATGCTGATGAATATATAATGTATTGACCTTGAAAATATAAGATGAACGTTGTGGTACGATCACGCCACGCGAGGAAGCAACACGAGCCGGCCACGTGAAATCACAAAAGTAAACACTGATTGTGTCACCTTATCTCCCTCCTTTCCCAAAACATATGATGATTTTAATGTTAAATAAAACAGTTATTATTTCTTAATTAATTTTTGATTTGTGGATCATGACACTCTGTGCAAGATAAATTACTCTAAAAACAAATAACGAAAACGATTCTTCTGCTTTCGTCCTTAAAACTATCAAAATATATGCGACTGTGTTCATGTAAAACATTTTTTTTTTTAACCATACAAGCACATTATTTCAGTACACTGAACTTAATTAATTATTCCGAATATCTTTAATTAGACGCAAGTGGTTTTGAGCAGTCAAATTACACTCTATGGAAAAGAGCATAGAGTGGTAAAATACGTGATCGTTCGTCGCATCAACTTTACGTGAATGCAGAGTTGGGCACGTATTATACATGAGATATTGTACATTGTATTTTATACAAATGTTTGTATAATAACAGTTATACAACTAAACAACAACTATACAATATATAGTTTGTATAGTTGTTTAGTTCTATAATTGTTAGTCGCGTTATGGTTATGTGAGCATCAAAGTTGGGCATGTATTATACGGTATAACCCGTATAATACGTACGGTATACACGTATTATACGGTACAACCGTATGATACGGTTGTATGCGTGAATGGCGTTTTTTGTAAACGTTAATTTTCTAGCTAAGTTTATTACACATAGTTTTATTATCTATGCGAATTCCAGCAAGCAAATATCGGAAAAAAAATAAGCAATCATTAGTTATTACGAGCAATTATATTAAAATATTATGAAAACGTACTTAAAATAAATAAGGAACTAAGCATCGCAAACTTGCAATGAAATGTTCTAAGGAATAAAAATGACAAAGACGTTCTTTTTAGGCTTACGAATATAATTACAATTGTTAATCGTCCGATTAGCAATGTAATTATATTAATTGTTGAATTCATCAAATGTCATTAAATTGTAACAGCCTTGACGAACAATATCACAATTTTACAATTTGCACCGCTTTGAATGCACCTACGCGCTCACGACACGCACATGTCATCATAATTAATAATCGAGGTGATGATAATTGCCCTTTATTGGAAAAAAGAGCAATATTATGAAAACTCCATTCTTTCTCAATTTTATCAATAAAATTTAATTACTTGTTATATAATATATATACATTAAAATTATCTAATGCACACAATATATCCTTCCACTTTTCTTAGTATTGACGCTTTGTTACATTTTTTCTTATCTAATCAATTATGAAATCTTTTAAAACAAAAATCATTACGTGTAAACATATTTGCAGTGTGATTTTATGAATATTTCTTTAAGAAACTAAGGAAAAGAATCAAACCCGCATGCTTAGAATTTAAAAAACATCGTGTTATTAATAATATCAAATATATGCACAAGTCATTTGTAAGTAAAACTGTTGTATCTGATATATGTATACTTGATGCATATAACACGACTTGACTTTAGAGAGATTTGAGAAATGAGAGCAACGGCTCTGAGTGACCTCTTTCACACTAATACATGTGAGTATTTGCTACTTTTTTTTTTAGAATGACAAATGAATATTTACTACAATGTCTGATATTTGTTATAAAAATTTATAGCATCTCTTCAATGATACGAAAAAATTACAAGTATATTTATAGAATAAAATATCTTTTATTTATAGCTTTTGTTCACGAAAACACACCGTGTTTACTTGGAAATAAGTAGATACAACGGAAGTGCGCACAATTGAGGAAGGCTTGATGTTATATTCATTTCTTTTTTCTACGTTTCAAGTGTGCAACATTTAAAAACGTCATAGCATTGCTTCATTATCATATAAGTGCTGTTTAAGTGCGTGACAAATTGACACAACGTCGTCTTGTTCGTTTATACATACTCGCGGTTGGCTTTTTATTAAAAAAAAAACTGTGAAATACATAAATAAATGTTCTTGTCATTCATTATAATAAATAAAGAAGTTGGCAATGTAGTCTCATTTTACATTTTGTTAGTATTCAATATTTTAAACTGAAAATTGAATAATTCATTTTTTTTCAAAGTAATGTTCAACAAAACTCGCAAAATCATTCAGTACAAAATGTGGCGATATGTTGCGTAATAACTCGATAAAAACTAATACGGAAGTTAAAGTGAGTTTTCCTTGAGTAAAATAAGAATTGACTTTATTTTTAAAAACAGTATTATTATACTACAAAGTTGCACATTTAGTAAAAACAAACTGCTCGAAGACATACAAAAGAAATGAGAATTTCTTGATCTTAAGAAATATACTAATTTATCGTTTTTAATTTTTTTTTTTTTTTTTTTTGCAGTAACATTTCCACAATTTGCAATCATATTTGTCTTCTTCTGTCAAAACGAGCAAACATGAACCCACGTTTGCTAAATATTGTATTCACATCATAGTACTCAGAGGCCCATATTAGCAACAATATATATTAATATTTATCTTTCCGTTATTCCAACTGTGCAACGCCGAACGAGATATTCAATAACAGAAAAAACAAAAGTGTATATATTCGTGTGACAATAAGAGCAACGAGGAAGTATGTGTGTAATTAAATGTCAAAGAACTATTGAAAGAGTCTATCTCTTGAAAATTCTCTGAAATAAAAATGCGTTGTGACTAAAATATTTATTCCGGAAACAATCACCGTCTAATAATGGTGAGAATTCACATCTGCAGAGATCATGAAAAATCGTATTATTTATTATTTTTTCTATCGAGAATTACCTTTCTTTCACTGAAAAATATGGAAAACGAAGTCACTTGCAAATTAGCAAAGATATTATATCATAATTAAATTCAAGAATACACACACTCGCTTTAAAGTCGCACCAGTTCTGTCTGTAGGCAATAAAATTTTTTTTATGTAAAAAATTGGTGTGCAATCAAAACGCCGGAATGTCAACAAAATGATCAAGATGAGAGATTTCGTGTGTTTTACAATTTATGTCAAAACTGTACCGTTCTTATAGAAGTAAACGTGACATGAAAAGATTTGTACGCAAATGCGATAGTATTCAAGATAGTATTCCACGTGTGTAATCTGATAAACCGGGTCATTATCATACGTTTTCTTTCAGTTTTTCGCTCACGATTAAAATGTATTGTTATATTTTTTGTATGTAATTAATATAATAATTATACTCTCACATTCTTAATTACAATCTTGTCTGTGCCAAAAGCTCAGTTAACGAGTTTATACAAAATGTCACCAAAAAAGAAGACAGAACAAATATAAAAAATTTTATACGCTGAGAAACACTTCGATGTGGTCCGCTGCCTCGCGTCTGTGTTCCGACATTTTTCCGGCACGCCGGAAGTTCCTTTGCGAAACGGATTACTCATGTGTACATATATATATATATATATATATATATACAGGGTGTCCCAGAATTGGTTTAACATCTCTCGTAGGCAG